ATTTCTTCTGGAAAATGAACTCACAGACACAGAGAACAGCTTGGTGGAAGCCAAGAGGTGGGGTGCAGAAGGTGGGCAAAATGGGTGAAAGGAATCAAAAAGTACAAACTTGCAGTTGTAGAATAAATAAGTCAGGGGATGTAATGTATAGCATGGTGACCATAGTTAATAAAGCTGTACTGTATATTTGAAAGCTGCCAAGAGAGTAGATCTTAAAAGTTCTCATCATAAGGAAAAAAATTTTGTAACTATGTGTGGTGATGGATTTTAACTAGACCTATTGTGGTGATCATTTTGGAATACATATAAATATCTAATCATTATGTTGCACACCTGAAATTAATATATGTCAATTATGTCTTAGTGAAAATAACGTATAAAAACATAAAAATAATCTCCTCCAGGTGATTCCTGTGCCTACTGTTCTAGAGTGTGTTTGGATGTTGATGGGAAGGACCCTGGAGAGGTAGAAGGAAAAAGTGTGGGAGGGGGAGGAGAAACCCACTGAGAGGGCAGGAGGGGTGGGAGGGGAACCAAGCCCAGGTGGAAGGACACTCTTCCCTTGTAAGGGGGGAGAAGGGAAGGAGAGAATGGATGCAGATGGGTGTGATTTTACAGACCTAATGGTGAGAAGATGAGGTGGTGCCTGCCAGCATTTTCGCACACTTGTACCTCTTTTATTTATACGTCCTTCTTTGTGTGCTATCTGCCTTTCCCTTTAGACTGTGAGCTCCTCAAAGACAAGACCTGTCACTGCTTTGTTGGCTGATGTATCTTCAGACCTAGCGCAGAGCAGATACTCCAAAAATGTTTGCTGAAGGAACCTGTGAGTGCCATGTTCAATATGGCATGACATCCAAGTGAAGACTTTATGGGAAAAAAACCCTGGAAATAGAGGACTGGATTTCAGCACAAGGACAGGCTAGAGATGAGTCTGGAAGTCATCTGCAGCAATAATAGATCAAAATGAACAGGCTCACAGAGACGCTGGGAGGAGAAAGAGAACAGGATGTGCAAGACAGTGGCCTCCAGGAGATAGTCATTGGGAGAGAGCAGAGAGAAGACGCAAGAAACAAACATCAAAGGAAAAAGAAAAAAAAAATTAAAGTCCTCCTGTTTATTCCGCCTAGGCCTATTTCTGTCGATTCCACACCTACCCAGCCCACTCCCTTTTCAGGCATTCCATCCTACGGGGGAAGCGAAGGGGCTTTCTAAGTTGTTTGACATTGGGTTTTTATAATTAAGAAGAGAAACTTGGAATTATGAAAGAGTCTAGGAGAGAAGTCAGGTGAAATTGCTAGGAACATAGGAGCCCAGACTCTGCTTCTCCTTGGGCTAATTTCACTCACAACTCCCTTAGCCCAGAGATCTCTGTGATCCCTCCATGTGTGTCTTCATCCAAGGATTATGAGAGTTGACCAAGGATTTAAATTTAGGCAGCATTTCTGGAAGGGATATTTTTATTTGAGTGGGCCTTATTTAGACTTTATTGGAGCCTAGCTCTAATAAGGAATTAAGGATGATATCAAAACTAGGATTTTCAAATTAGATACAAAACATTTATCAAGCAGCTATTATACTCCAGGATTCTAAGGGAAATTAAAACACTGCTGCTATTTGTGCTCATGCTTATAGCGGAGGGTTGGAGGGAGAGAAGAAAGGTGGATTTGCTGCAAGATGAAGGTGGGAGTCAGAATCATGGTCACTGGGGGCTCGGGACAGTATTGACTTTCACAGAAATGGGCAAAAAGAAGTTCACCATCTTTGCTTCCAGAGAAGGAATGAGAATATGCAAGCAGAATGCCTGGGGACCCTTGTCTCCTCCTGACTTTTTGTGGCCTCCAAGTCCTCTGTGATTGGTGGATAATTCACTTACCAGGCCCCGGGATTCCACAGAGAATCCTGAATGCAGGAGGCAGGAGATAATTTCCCTCTCCTCGTCTTGAAATGATCCACTTGGGAAGTTGTTATCTAGAGTGCCTGGGTTCTAGAGCAGAGATGGGCTGCAGAGGAGGACTTGATGCCTGGCGTCTCAATGGAACACGAAGTTTCAGGAAGAATTAAAAGTTTGCCAGGGCCAGGGTTCTGGGACGAGTAAGATCAGTTGGCGTAAGTTCCATGGTAGTAGGGAGCAAGGGACTGGGAGCGCTGGACTCCTGGGTTCCGAGAGCTGCTCCCACATTATGTCTTGCTCAATTTTTTTTTTTCACTTGGCCATAGCTGTGGCATTTAACTTCTGGGCCCTGCCTCTCCTGGGAGGGACATCCCCAGCAATTTATGGGGGGAGGAACAGGGAAGGGGAAAGAACAAGGGGATCAAACCTGTCAGGGGAGAGGAGACCCACCCTTGGGGACAGAGGTCAGCAAAAACCTGTTTTCTCCGGGGATGTCTCATTTCTGGGACAGAGGCCTTTGTAGGAGGCAGAGGGGAGAAAAATCAAGGTGACGGGCTCCCAAATCATTGGGTCTTCTCCTTCCTGTGTCGCACTCACGTCTAGGGGCGGCTGCAAGGGGGTCGGGGCAGTGAGAGGGGAGGATGGAGAACCTGTGACCATGAGGCCGGTTAATGAGTCTTGGAAGGCAACAGGCTGGCAGGAAAGACCCTGGCCCTGGGTGCTGACTCCAGAGAAGAAGAACAAGACTCTAGAGTCCAAGGCGCTGAACGGAGAGACCCGGCCTCTGGAAGAAGGAGCCGGTCACTCTTGCATCAACCTCATTTACACTCCCTTCCTTAGGTGGTCCCTATAGCATCCGACCCTTCCAGGCCATGCTGCTGCTGTTACCTGGAACCTGGCTCCGCGAAGGAACAAGGTGAAATTGAGATTTAGAGAAAATGAATAAACTCTGTTCCGTGGGACTGTGTGGATATGAACAAGGCACTTCTCTGACTTCGGTGTTCTCATGCGCAAAGCAAGTTTAATAAGAAAGAAGTCACAGGGTTATTGGAGGATGACAGGATGTGATGTACTGGAAAACAGCACAAACGTTCGTTACTGTTTCGTTATCGATGGTGTGCGGGGAGAAACGAAGCCCAGGCCTGGCAGTCTGGCGTTGACGGCAGGAAGCTGGGGACGAGCTCTGCCACCCAGGAGAGCGAGGCGGGAGGAGGGCATGCGCCCGAGACCCCTCCCCGGCAGGGGCTGTGGGGGCGGGAGGAGGGCGTTAGGCAGGATCCGCGAGCGCACTGGCTGGGCGGCGGCTCCTCCCCTCCCCGAGCCCGGTTCGAGCTGACGCCCCGGAGCCGGCGGCCGCGAGCCACTAATCCGCCCAGTTAGCGAGCGAGATCCGGGAGACGCGGCCCAGTGGAGCCTCGAGGGAAGGAGGGAGGGCGGCGGACTCCCCCCGCTGCTCCGGTCACCTCTCCCTTAGGGACCGCAGCTGTCGGCGCCCCGACCCCAGATCCCGCCCGGCCTGCCCCGGGCTCGCCCCTCTGCCCTGGGGGGTCTTGGGCACTCGCTCCCCAGGATGTGATCTCTCCCGGGGGCCCGGGGCGATAAACGTGTGATGGCGACGCCTATTCCCTCCCTGGCCACTTGTTAAGTAATTTTCCCTAATGAGGGCGCAGCCCTGGAGCTTGTTAAAGGACTCCCTGCTAGATTGCAAAGTGATCACTATCAGGGGCAAGGGAGAGAAGGGGAGGGAGACAACCACCCGCTGAGCGTCGGAGCTGTAGTCCCCTTTTGCTTTTGCGAGATGAAGAACCGCCCCCCACCCCCTCCGCCGCCCCAAACACACACCCTTTGGCCCCAGTGCTTCATTTTGGTGCCTTCGCAGGGGAGGGGTAGGTCTGGTCGGACATTTGGCATTCTAGAGGCAGAGGCATTTTTGCCTTATTTGATTTTGGTCTTTTAATTAAGGTCTAGGCTGGGGAAATTCAATGGTTGGAGGCTGGGGTTAGGGGATATCTGCATTCCTCCCAGGGCAAGTGACTCTTCTGTCCTGGCAGCTGTCACAAGCTGAGTCACCATCTGCCCAGACAACTAAAAACCCAGCATCCTCCACCTTTTTTCTCAAGCACCCCAGCCCTCTTCCAGAACCCCAGTGTCCCTCTCTGGCTTAAGGCTCTCTCCAGGGACTTAAGTCTGGGGTCCCTCTGGCACCTGGCAGGCCTCCTTTCTGGCACCCAAGCTACAATCCTGCCCTTAGCAGAGTCGATTTCTGTTGGGAGATTCTCTGTGTTGGGTCAGAGAGACCCTCAAGCCTGAGGGCCCGCCAGCCCAGAGCTGGGCCCTGGCAGAGAATTCAGTGACATGAGTGTCCAGATTAGGCTTACTGTCTGTAACAGAACTTCCAGCTTCCCGCAAAGGGGGTTACCAAAAGCAGCAAATAGCGACTTGTGACCCTGCTATTTGATTCTGGATAGAGTTGAGGTTGGAAGACCTGAGGCAAACTAGGGTGCCTCTCTGGTCAGCAAAGATGCTGATGCCATCCTCCTCTGGTAAGAATGAGATCAGCCAAGGCCACGTGGAGGTGGGCAGTGGTTCTGCTGGCAAAGACATTCGGGCACGGAATGGTTTGGAAGCAGGGCTGGTGTCCTAACATAAGTATAAGACATGGTAGATGCCCGTAAATATTGGGTTTATTTCATTAGAGTCTTGATTTCTTCTGTGTAGTACTGCCTTGTGATAATTCTTATTGAATTATTTAATTTTAATTTTCCTTTATTTGTGTCTTCGGTGGGAACTATGTCTTATACTTCTTTATAATCCTCAACAGAATGTATAATAGGTGCTTACAAATACTTGCTTATTAATTAACAAAATTTCTCCTCATTTTGTCACCATGCAAATAAGTCCAGCATGAACTCAGGCCGGCTCTGATCTAAATCCAGTAATGAGGCACTTTAGGAGCAATAGACAATCAACCTCCACTTCCTCCACCCTCCAGGAAATTCCTGTCCTGCAGCCGCTCCTGCTCGAGACCATCTGTGAGGTCACAGCCAGAGCCAAGAACGTCAGTCAGGACTTTCTCCCAACTTATAATCCAATAATTATAATGTCCTTACTTTATAAATATTTTACATTTTATTATAATAAGAACAATAGAAAGAAGGAAGCTGACATCTGTCGACTCCCTTTCCCCTTCTGCACAACCAGGAATAAGGGGAAAAAGGCTTTAATAAGTTGGAGAGAAAATCTAGAAAACATACACAGATGAAATGCCTACATGGAGGAAAAGCAGAATCTGGGGGGAAGGTGTGAGGAAAGAGGATGAGGTAGTGGAGAAGATGGGTGACTCCTACAGGAAAGAGCCGGGACTGGCTTTTGGTGGAAGAGACGGGAAAATAAATACTGAGTGGAGAACACTATCACAGAAGCTCTGGGATGGGAATCAATGGATGAGACCAAACGAAAGTCCCTCCCAGCGTGCCCGCCCACAGCTCAGCAAGCCAAACCAACAGTGCCCTCTGTAGACATTTAGAAAAACGAAGGGATGCGAGAGGAAGAGGGAAGAACCATCTGGGTGAGAGATATTTATGAACTTTTCTGGAATTTTCCTTTCTCCTGGGAATGGAGAGGGTGAAGAAGGAAATAAATCCTCTTTTCTTCTCAGATCCTATTTTTTTCATTAAAAAAAAGGTAGGGGGCAAGCCCTGGGAACTCAAAGACAAGCCTGTTTACACACAAACTCTAAGTAATAGTAGATGAAAATAATATAGATTAGTCCTAAAACCCAGGCACCCTTTCCTGTCTCCGCCTTCCCATAATCCCAACTCACAGTCAGATCTGGAGTATAGCCTTCTAACCCTGAACTTCCCTCAGCTGTGCTGCGCCTCTCAGAAATCAGGGTCCTGATTGGTTCCCATTCGATATGTCCATGAAACACCTTTTCACTTTCAGACCATCATCTTCTACAGAGAACACTTGCTTGTATTATTCATTCTTTCTTTTCTATCCCCCAAACTCACATCCTTCTTGCTTATCACCTCATCCCTTGACCACTTTCATTAAGAACACAGCAGATGAAGGGTCAATGCAGTTAACTGTCAGTACTTTGCCCTTCCTGGAGTTCAGGAAATAGGAATTGTGAGTCTATTTCCTTATCCAGGAGAGGGGTAAGGCATGGAAGAGCTGGGGTGGGCGCTGTCTGAAAGATCATCGTGGGGAAGGGATCTGGCTCATGCCAAGAGTCTGCTGCTCCATCAGGTAGACTGGATAGGAATTGGGGCCCACATCATTCTCTGGGTCATTGTCCTCAGTGTTCCGGATCAGTGCACGGCGTCTTCGCATCATGTAGGAGACCTGTGATTGGGAGGAGAAAGGAGGAATGAGTACCATCTGCCATGCCCTTTGCTTTCCTCAACACCTCTATTTCAGGCCCTTTGATTCTATTCTCCCTCTTCCTGGACCTTTGGTATGCTCCTTTCCCAAGATTCCATCCAACCTTGATCCTTATTCCAGCCCCAGATCCAACACATTGAGTCCCAGACTTCATCTCTAATTCCCTCCTCTGTCCTATTTTCCTTATCTTCATATCCTCATATCCCTCATATTCTCACATGCCAGACTCCACACCAACACCCAAATTTCCCCTACTTGACATCCTTTTTTCTCAGTCACAGCTTCCTCTCCAGTTCTACTTTTCATGTCCCATAAATCTATTGTCTTTCCCCATCTTTCACCACCACTACCCCTCTATTACCATCCCTCCCACCATGCCTCTTTTCCTAGACTCATTATTGCCTCTAGTTCCGATCTGTAACCTCTCCCCAACTCCCTATCCCATAGGTTCATCTTATGGGGCATCCCTGTCCCTTACCAAGAAGATCAGGCCAAAGAACACCAGGAGGAGAATCACAGCCAATAGGATCACAATAACTATGGCCCATGAAGGGAATGAATCCTTCTCCTCGCTCTCTGCAGTCTGGAGACCTCCCTCTGAGCCATCTTTGTTCTGATTTGGTTGGCTCTTATTGGCTGGGGCTTCCGACGTGATGGAACCCAGCTCCAGGCTGGATGTTGTAGCTGCAAAAGAACCAGTGGGCACCTGATGGGTAACCTCAGGTTTTTTTGGATGAGGAGAGGTATTAGTGATAGATTTGTCTCCTGTGACCTCGACTGGAGGTCTTGTAGTCTCTGTGGCTGCTGGGTTTTCTGTAGGCTTTACTGGGGCTTTTATGGTCTCAGTGGCCGATGTGGTCTTTTCTACATGTTTTGTAGGCTTTGCTGGGGCTCCTGTGGTCTTTCTGTGGGCTGCTGTGGTCTCTTGTCTCTGTTCTGTGGGCTTTACTGGGGCACATGTGGTCTTCTTGTGGGCAGCTCTGGTCTCTTGTTGCTGTTCTGTGGGCTTTTCTGAGACTGTTGTGACCTCACTGGCTGCTGTGGTCTCTTGTTGCTGTTCTGTGGGCTTTGCTGGGGCTCTCGTGGTCTTCTCACGGGCTGCTGTGGTCTCTTGTCCATGTTCTGTGGGCTGTGCTGGGGCTCTCGTGGTCCTCTCATGGGCCGCTGTGATCTCTTGTCCCTGTTCCGTGGTCTTTGCTGGGGCTCTCGTGGTCTTCTTGTGAACCTCTGTGGTCTCTTGTTGCTGTTCTGTGGGCTTTGCTGGGGCTCTCGTGCTCTTCTCGTGAAACTCTGTGGTTTCTTGTCCCTGTTCTGTGGGCTTTGCTGGGGCTCTCGTGGTCCTCTCGTGGGCTAGTGTGGTCTCTTGTCTCTGTTCCGTGGGCTTTGCTGGGACTCTCGTGGTCTTCTTGTGGACCTCTGTGGTCTCTTGTCTCTTTTCTGTGGGCTTTGCTGGGGCTCTCGTGGTCTTCTCGTGGACCTCTGTGGTCTCTTGTCTCTGTCCTGTGGGCTTTGCTGGGGCTCTCGTGCTCTTCTCATGGGCTGCTGTGGTCTCTTGTCTCTGTTCTGTGGACTTTCCTGGGGATCTCGTGGTCCTCTCATGGGCCGCTGTGGTCTCTTGTCCCTGTTCTGTGGGCTTTTCTGGGACTCTCGTGGTCTTCCCGTGGATCTCTGTGGTCTCTTGTCTCTTTTCCGTGGGCTTTTCTGGGGCTCTCATGGTCTCCTTATGGACCTCTGTGGTCTCTTGTCTCTGTTCCGTGGGCTTTGCTGGGGTTCTCGCGGTCTTCTCGTGGGCCTCTGTGGTTTCTTGTCCCTGTTCTGTGGGCTTTGCTGGGGCTCTTGTGGTCTTCTCATGGGCTGCTGTGGTCTCTTGTCTCTGTTCTGTGGGCTTTGCTGGGGCTCTCGTGGTCTTCTCGTGAAACTCTGTGGTCTCTTGTCTCTGTTCTGTGGGCTTTGCTGGGCCTCCCGTGGTCTTCTCGTGGGCCTCTGTGGTTTCTTGTCCCTGTTCTGTGGGCTTTGCTGGGGCTCTCGTGGTCCTCTCGTGGGCCAGTGTGGTCTCTTGTCTCTGTTCCGTGGGCTTTGCTGGGGTTCTCGCGGTCTTCTCGTGGGCCTCTGTGGTTTCTTGTCCCTGTTCTGTGGGCTTTGCTGGGGCTCTCGTGGTCTTCTCGTGGGCCAGTGTGGTCTCTTGTCTCTGTTCCGTGGGCTTTACTGGGGCTCTCGTGGTCTTCTCATGGACCTCTGTGGTCTCTTGTCGCTGTTCTGTGGGCTTTGCTGAGGCTCTTGTGGTCTTCCTGTGAGCCGCCATGGTCTCTTGTCCCTGTTCTGTAGGCTTTTCTGGAGTTTGTGTGGTCTTCTCAGTCGCTGATGTGTCTTTTATGTTTTCTGTAGTCCTTATCAGTTTCTTATCTGAGTCAACTGTAGGTCTGTAATTAGCAGTTGTTGTGTGATCATCAGCTCTTTCTGACCTCCCTGAGATTCGTGTACCCTGGTATGGTGTGCTTGTGGCAGTTGTGGTTTTTTCTGAGGTAGATGTGGGTGTTTTATTCGTCTCTGAATTGAACGAGTTGTGGGAAGGATTTGTGGTCTTGTGTGAGGATGTGCTTTTACTGACTAAAGTAATGATAGTCTTTTCCAAAGTTGTTATGGTTTCAGCTGAGTTTCTTGTTACAATTTGTTTGGTTGTTTTGGACTTACGACAAGTCGTTTTGCTCTTGGGTGCTGGGGTTGGATATTTTGACGATCCTTTATCTGTTTGAGTGGAGTTAAAATCTGCAGAGCGTTTGTTCCGGATAACTGTGTCTTTTCCTTGATTGCTGGGGTTTTGTTCAGAAGTGGGAGGAGCTTCATGATGAGTTGTAGAGCTCCCAGAGTTATCTATAGATTTGTGAATCAGCTTGGAACTGTGTGTGGTATTGCAACAGCGTTTTGGTTGATGGGTTTCTGTAGATTTGGGGAGGTCTGCAGGGCTGTGTCCTGAATGAAGAGCAGTGTGGTCAGAGAGAGTAGTATAAACAGGGCTTGGAGTGGGAGGGAGAATATGATCAGATGTTGGGGATTCACCAGTCTTCTGAAGTTCTTGAACTGTGGTAGCACCTGTGAAGGGAGAGAGGCAAATAAGAATCTTCCTCCATGTTCTCTGCCCACCTCCATCTCTAGGGATACCTTATTACCCCAGATACATCTCCCCAGCCAGTCTCCTCAGAATACTAACGTATCCAAGCCCATTCTCACCTCCCATCTCTGGATCTTTGTTCAGGCTGTGCCTTCAGTCAGAATGCCACCTCACCCCTTCTCCATCTTTACTCTTCAGTTCTCAATTTCAGATCTTTCTAGCTTTATGGCATCTTTCCTGATCCTTCTAAGCAGATAAGCTCTAGCTTCATCTCAGTGCTCAAAACATTCTTTGTTAAGTACTCCATCCTGCTACTTTCAACTTGACATTACAGTTGTTGAGTGCCTGTCAACCTTTACCCCCTGCCTTGCCTATCAAGTCATAAGATTTCAAGAGCAAGTATTGACTGGCGTTTTGCTCCACAAGTGCTCCTCTAGGGTTATATACTTATGGAATGGAGTTTTCTTTCTGTGGCAGAGCTGAAAGGAACAGGAATAAATATCAGAATCTCCATCTTTCCATAATATTCCAGTTCCATCCCAAATGTAACTTTCTGAGAGACTGAGGTAAGACTTCTGGCAGAACTTCCCATAGGGCTTAGTAAGTAGACACAGGTGATGAGTGATAGAAGGGTAAGAAAAGAAATAGAGGATGAGTAGAGGAGGGAGATGGAAAATATTCATTTTGGTGATGAAGTTTGGTCTGGAAGCAGGGAAGTCAATGAGATGACTCAACTCTTATGACCTCACTGGATACCCCTCTTCACCCACCTAAAGCCATCTGGAATAGATGAAGGTGGCCCTCTTGAAAGAAAAAGATATTTCCTCGGAGGTCCCGAGGGGAGGTAATGAGACAGCTAGATTCTGAGAGGGACTGACTATGTTTAAGGATGTGAGGGAAAACACCCTTATCAATGAACATATATGGGCCTTAATTCCTGAAAAAACACGCACTGTGGACAAAGGAGCTGTCACTGACATCCAGCCAGGAGGGTGAGAGATGGGAGAGCAGCAAACAGTGAGAGAGAGTGCGTTGTTACATAACTGAGATTTCCAGCTTCTGTTAGCTCAAGGTGGCAACCAGAACCTGGACTGGTTCCCAATCACGGGAAACCAGAGTCCACCCAACTCCCTGTTGACAAGGAGAGTTGGGGGCTGGGGAGCTCAGCCCTTGAAAGAAACATGGGTGGGACGAGAAGAGGGTGAGGGTAGCAGAGAAGTCCAAGACCCTGAAGGGATTTGAGCCTGGGGAGAGAGAGGAGGGCTGAACTGTGAGGCCCTCACTTCGCTATGCCAGTTCCCTTCTCTGATTCCCTCGGCAGCAATGCCAATAATAGTGTCATTCATTGGGCACCTTCTTTGGGCCAGGCACTCAGCTGATGGCCTCACATATTCTCTTTCTGGATTCTCTTCTAGGATGATTGATCTCACAGCTCCCAACAAGGTGCCTGAGAAGCTGTCAACCTCTGTTTTATAGCTGAGTAACTTGAGTTGTCATGGAGGAATGGTGACTTGCACAGAATTGCACAGCAATGACAAGAGCCAACAATTCTTGAGCATTTACTATGAGACAGGCAGGTCCTACAAATGAGGACTTGTGTTAACTCATTTACTTTTTACAACAATTCTTTGAAGTTGAGAACTATTTGTCATTCTCCCTTTTTTATAGATGAGGAAACAAGGTTCAGAGAGGTTAAGAATCTCCCCAAGGACACCTAGCAAATAAGAGGTTGAGCCAGAATTTGAAAACACATTCTGGGCTCTGGGGTCCAGGCTCTCACTAGTCAAGACCACACTATACAGCCTATAGGTCAGCCCAGTCTCTTGGGGAAGGAAGAACACCGACATTTGTGGAACCCCCGATGGAGGCTGTTCATGTATTTGTTCATTTCATCTTCCCCGTGAACCTGTGAGGCTAGTGTATGGTCTTTGCTATTTTATAGGCAAGGAAAGGAAGTTCAAAGAGATTAAGTAATTGGCAGAGTCAGCCTTCTCACTACACCCCAGATGCTTTTCAACGTGATAAGGGATGAATAAATATCCACAGAGTGACTAAATGAGCAGGCAGCAGCACAGAGTGGCAAAGTCTACTGGCCTGAAAGAATCAGAGGACAGGATTAGATTCCAGGCTCTGTCCCTCACCACCTTTGCATCCTTTCTCAGGTCACTTAAATGCTCTGAGGCCCCATGCCCTCAAATGTAAAGAACAATGACGTCAACTGCACCAGCTTAGTGTGAAGGTCAAAGGACGTATGGAGCATAGAAGACTCTTTAAATTGTTGAGTCCGAATTGTAGTCTTTGAAACAATCTCATACTTTGCCCCGTTCTTCTGCTGGTAGTAAGGGGAGCCTGAGCCCACGGCCCTGCCCTCCTGCCATCTGCAGGCCCAGGTGTTTCTCCTGACCCACCTGTTCGATATGCCTTTGAGGCCTACCTTGACCACCTCTTCAAAATAGCAGCCCCTCTGCATTCCTGGGCTGCTTCCCCTGCTGTGTTTTATCGACCAAGCATGCTTCACTTTCTAAGATACACTTTCTAATATCAATACAGTTTAATTTCCCATGGCAGGGATTTTTCTTGTTTTACTCATCGCTATGTCTCCAGTCTACCCCAATGTCTGGCCCATAGGAGGTACTTCATAGATATTCATGGAATGACAGCACAAGAGGATATTTTAAGACTGATGAAAACTCTCCAGAAGCCATGCCAACAACCTTTTGTTATGCACATTAAGTAAAAACAAACATATTGTGACCTCCAGTGGTAGAAAGACCAAGGGGTAACTTCTGTTGTTAAGTAAGTGAGCCCCTGAGACGAAAAGATGTTGAAAGAAGGGCTCCAGCCCACCAGGTCTGGGATACCCGTTGTCGTTGAACCACAGGAGCCACACAGTCAGTAGCTAGACTCACAGATAACTAGATCTTAGAATTCCAGATCTACGTCACACCACTGTGGAACCATCAATTGTAAAATCTGGAGTTGAGGGCCAGCCCGGTGGCGCAGCGGTTAAGTGCGCGTGTTCTGCTTCTCGGTGGCCTGCGGTTCGCCAGTTCGGATCCCAGGTGTGGACATGGCACTGCTTGGCAAAAGCCATGCTGTGGTAGGCATCCCACATATAAAGTGGAGGAAGATGGGCATGGAGGTTAGCTCAGGGCCAGTCTTCATCAGCAAAAAGAGGAGGATTGGCAGTAGTTAGCTCAGGGCTACTCTTCCTCAAAAAAAAAAAAAAAAAAATCTGGAGTGGAAGCTCAAGGGATGCCTTGGTCCTGAGCGCAGCCGTGAGGCAAATCAGTGACTAAACCCCATGATGAGAAGATCATCTCTTCTCCCCAGTAGGTCTAACATTAGTAGCAACTTTATTTCTCTAGGAAGTTTTCACCGTGAGACACTTATTTCACTGACTACAACAATGGCCTGAAAAGAACTTTTTTGGTCACCTAGGTAGAGGCAGAGAGGAAAATCCGGCTTTAGCACCAGACACTGGAGGTGGATGCTCAGCCTGGATAAAAGAATGAAAATAAATCCCACAACATCAAAACTATGTACAATTCCAAAATTCTGTTCAATCTGCTTCATTCACTTGTTGGCAAAGAAGGTAAATCTCCTGCTAAGTGACTTGTGCCCTGGGGTCTCTGTCAGAGCAGCCTCCCCTAAAAGAGCATTTCTGGTGTTTCCTGCTGCCCTGCCTCTCGAAAATGGCTTATTCCATTTACAATAACATGGATAAACGCTTCTTAACATGTCTATACATTATAAGCTCCAGATGTGACCTAAAACACAGACACAGTAAAAAGACTAAAGAGAAATACACTCAAATGGTTGCCTTGGTGACTAGGGAGTATTAGGAGAGACTTTCTTTCTAATATGTTCTATTTTCCAGTTTCTATAATGAACATACATTATTTTTGTCGTAGAAATTAAATCAAATAAAATTTATCGTAGGAAATGGCCCTTTTAGATTGTCCACAGGACCCCAGTTCCACCTGTGCTTCCCTCAGAGAAGATTTAATCGAGATTCTGCACCTATGGTTCTATGGCTGCATGATGCAGACTCTGGGGTTCCAACACCTAGTTATCTGATTTGGGTATTGACTGGTCCTGTAGACAAGTGACAGGAGGTGCCCCAGAACTGTGGGCTAAAGGTCTTCATCCACCGGAGTCGTCACTCCTCCTTCCCTACCCTGGTCTCACTCTCTGCTGGACACACTCATGTGCCCAACCCTGACCCGCAGCCTGGTTCCACCCTGACCCCATCCCAACCCCACCCCAGCCTCAAGCCCTCCCCACCTAGCACCCATTTGTCTTCTCTGCAGGGCCTGAGCATCCAGCTGCTCTTGCCCTGCAGCCCCCCACTCCCATCGTGCCCAGTCAGGCTCTAGCACGGCCATCTCCCAGACCACACCCACAGAGCCCAGAGTGTCCTGTTCCAGAATTCTGCTTTCAAGTCTGCCCTGCTCCTGTCCTGTGCCCTAGAGCAAATCTCCTTCAAAAGTGAATGTGTGGAAAAAAATTAAAAAGTCAATGTATTGTGGAGTTGCTTCATGACTCATTCTCTTCTGCCCCCTACATATGCCTCTTCCTGGGCAGCAGCACAGACAGAAGGTGGTGGAGAGCAGCAGGTGGGAGAATCAGCCTGACAGGAAGGGCAAGAGAAGGTGGATGAGACTGGAGACTGGGCGACTGAGGGTGGCTCCGGTGTCTCTGTCCCCAGACCCTCGAGGTGGGGGAAGGGCATCAAGTCAGGGCTCAGACAGAAGGCACTGCTGAGACGTAGAGGAGACAACTGGAAGATTCCTCACACCCTGCCTCTGTGGTCCACCATCTGCCAGGTCTCCACCCCATCCCCTCTGGCCCCAACATGACCCTCAGCTCAGGGAAGGAGGGACTTCCTCTAATATCACCCTCAGTCAAACACCACTGGAAGGAGAGGCTGCTGGCTGCCCTGCCCCAAATACTGCCTGGAGCATCCAGGCTCACGACTTTCCCGCCCTGGTTTGGGATCATCAACGCCATTACCATGGATGACCCTATCCAGTATATAGAGTCTCTCTGAATCCATTTTTGCGTGTCTACTTTGTGAAGACCCTCCTCCCAATGGCCCAGGCCCCCTCCAAACTGCCCCTGTGTGTGGCATCTCTGCTCCCTGGGTCCAATCACAGAACTGTTTCTTAACGAACTAATCCAGCAATTTCACTTTATCTCGTAGGGTCTGTTTAGCTCATCAAACTTTTCCATATTCTTCTCACCGAAGCCCTTGGATGTTTCCCAACTGTAGAATGGGGACAAAACTGCCCACACCATATCGAGCTGCACCAAGGAGTAAATAAGTAAACGTGGACGAAGTGTCTAGAACAATGTCCTGGTCACAGTAAAAGCTCAGTAGGCATCAGCTCCCGGTATTGTCCAGGCAGCATCCTTCCCATTCGACAGATCTGTGGGAGTCTAGACTAATTAAAGGGTCAGAGTCAAGACTGGAGCCCAGACAGGAGCCCGGGGTGGCACAGGATGAGTTCTTGCCAGAGAAAGGCATCTAGTGCCGCCTGAAGGCAGCAGGCGCTGTAGGGTGTCGGGATCCTTGCTTGCCTCCATGACTTCAGGCAAGCCCTTTGCCTCTCTGAGCCTCACTCTCCTCATTATAAAATGAGTTATTATTGACCACCTCAGGGGATGTGAGGGGATGAAATGAGAGGAAGCCCCTCAGCACCTGTGAGTCCCTTGCAGGTGCTCAGGGAATGTCAGGTCCCCACCGCTGCCCCCCCGCCCCAGGACCTCCAGCCCCTACTGTATCTTTATGCAACCTAGAAGAAGCCCCAGTCTGGCTGGGAGAAGCCTGGGGAGCCATGTCTTGAGGAGCAGAGCATAGGCTAGATTTCATCCCCTACATGCCCCTTAGCCAGCAAACTTGAGCAGTGAACACCACAGACAATTGTATGGAGCAGCCCCGTACCCACTCCCCTTCCCATTGCAGTCTTCTGCTGTTCATTTCTATGATTGGTCATTCAACCCTAAAAATTCTAAGAAACAACTCCTTTCTGTCTTCTATCCCCCTGTGTAATGGTGGCCCTTTCACCTCCAAGGGCATCTTACCTGCCTCCCAAGAAGCTAGAAGGAAGAGGAGGCAACACTGGAGGCCAAAGGTAGAGCGGATGCATTGGGCCGGCTGGGCCATGTCGGAGCTGGGCTGCTGCTTGGGGCTGTGTGGGCTGGGGTCCCCTCACCTTATATAGGACTAGGTTTGACGTCATGGGGGCTGGGGCCCCTCAGGACTAAACCTTAAGCAAATGGAGCCGCCCTACCCCACTGGAGTGGCCTGATAACAGGAGACCGCAGCTGGTGCGTCATGGAGCCAGGTAGGGTGCCGGCAGAAGGGGTGGGATCTGGGATGGGGCCGACTCCCGAACCAGCTCCCGCAGAGGGAGAGGGAACCCAGAGAGGGCGGCCTTCAGGGCTCCTGGGAGGTGGGGAGCAACAGCCAGGTTCTAGAAGACCTGATTTCTGGCAGGACAAGGAGTGGGGGTGACTGGAGGTCAGAGCTCTGGGAGGAGATTCAAATTCTGGTTCTTCTCCAGCGTCAAGTTTGCCCTCTGGCCTCTCTCACGTCAGCCCAGCTCTCCACACCCCTTACTCACACATGGTCACTCTTTTTGCCCTGGGTGGAGCTGTCCATGAGTATCAGGTGAAAGAGCAAAGAAAGGGGAAAGACCTCACATGGCCCGCTGCTGTGGACAGGTGCTTCCGGATGCCCAGGGATGATACAAGACGTGGACACAGTGGGGGGAGTGACAGACACAAGGCAGATACAGAACCCCAGAATGATCCTCACATACCTCACCAGGGATGCAGACAGGTCCTGGACACCCAAAGGGTCTGAGGCCGAGACCTTTGGCAGAGACGCTCAGCGTACAGGAGCTCTGCCTTCACTCCCCTTCCCTTCCTGTCCCACCTCAGCCCTGCAGCGTCTCTTCGCCTCCAAACCCCCATCCACCCCTCTACAGAAATGCAGAAATCCAGTTCTAGGATTTCCCGGGAGCCTCCCTCTTCCTCCCTCTTGGTTCCTTGTCTGAAGCAAGCATTAGCTCAGAGAGTGTCAAAATTCATGTACTGAGCCCCCAGGTGACAGTGCCTGGGCTGGAGCAGGGGGAGGACAGACTTGACTACCAGGGGCTCTAAGGAGAGAGAAAGCTGTGGGTCCAGGTGTCTAAGTCACCACCCCATCACTCAATTTGTTCACCGTGGGTCTCTAATGGAAAGTAAGCCCCTGCAGGCGCCGTTTCTGCCTTGACAACTGCTGCATCCCCAGCACCTGGGACAAGGCCTGGCACACAGCCAACAATGAATAAGCGTTTACTCAGCTGAATGGAGTGGATGCCAAGGCTGGCTACTGCCCATCTGGGGGACGTGGAGCAGACAGAGGGAGTGGAGAGGGCCAGGACCTAGAGGGCAAGATGCCAGGGCCTCAGGCAGCAAGGCTCATAGGAGGACTAGAGGGCCGAACACGAATTCCTCTCATTACTTGGTGTGACTCGTCCCTAGGCAGGGCTGAAATGGGTGGGACGAAAAGAGGCCAACTGCTCATTAATGTGATTAATAGGAGATTAATAAGGCTCCGTGGAGTCAGGCCAAAGATTGACTACTCAGAAGTGGACAGCCTGCCTCCCAGGCAATGCATCCTGCAGGATAGGGAAACTGAGGCAGAGGCAAGCCCTCCTCTGCAACTCCATCTGAACTCATCAGTGACTGACAGCCCCCTATTCCACTAGTCTGATACCCCACCCCTTCCTCCAGGGAGCCAGGCCTCTAGGAGAGTGGTTCTCAACAAGAAGAGGTAATTTTGCCCCCCAGGGGGCATCTGACAATGTCTGGAGACATTCTTGTCACAACTTGCAGGGGGTTGTTACTAGCATCTGGTGGAGAGATGCTGCTAAACATCCTATAATACACAGGACAGCCCCCACAAGAACCCACTCTCCAGCCCAATGTGTCAGTAGTGCTGAGGCTGGGGATCTCTGCTTTAATTGTGTAAATAAACATCCCCCCTTCTCTTCGAGCCACAACTTCCCCCAGAGGACATGGGCATCTGGGGTGGGGGAACCTGGAGGTAGGTGGAGCTCAAGTTGACTTCTTAGTGTAAGCAGAGGTTGTTCTCTCTGAGCCAGAGGCTGAGGGGCCGGTCACAAAACAACCCTACAAGCTACTGAAGTTTTAGCATTTCTGTGTACCTTGTTATAACCTATGAAGTTAGCAATGTCAGCCTCATTTAACAGATGAGAATAAACAACCTCGCATCAGGGAAGTGACTTGCCCAAGGTCACACACCTGGTAAGCAGCGGAGCCCAGACTTGGCCTGCACCTGCCCGACAGAAAAGCCCACGGACCTGGGCACATACACAGCGGCTGGGAGATCAGTGGAGGGAGTGCTGTTTTATTTAGCAAGAATTGTGTCCACCACCAGCCAGAGGGCATCACAGAGCAGGTAAGAGAATCCGGGGTCTAGGGAGGATCAGGAGTCAGTCCAAGGGGGCTCCGTATGGAAGGAGACGTGTAGGGGGAAAGTCCTGGGAGGTCCGAGCAAAGTGTCCTCAGCTAAGGAGCTTCTCTGATAGGGAAGAGGATGGGAAGAAAGGGTGAGGGCGAAGATACCAACTGCCCAGGCCCAGACTCCGTGAAGACCCCTAGACATCATCTAGCCCTGGTCCTTCCTCTTACTGATGAGAAACTGCAGCAGAGAAATCAGGTGCCAGACGGCAGGCTGGCGGCAGAACCGGGACTGGAATCTCAGCCTTCTGCTTGGTGACTGACAGTGGACTTCCTTTTACACTGTTGATGGAGAAGAGCTGGGGAGCCAGTGGCCCCAGGAACCCACCTGCAGGAAATAGCCCCAGCTAGTGTGAACGGGAAGGCTGAGCCTTGAATCAGGAGTCTGTTTAGGAGGGGAAGAGGGCAGGCCAAAGGCAGAGGGGCATTCGGGGCGATCCTTGCCCCGCCCCTTCACTTGATGGAGTAGCGCTGACCGGGGACCTCGCGGTGGCAGCTATAAGGGGTCACAGAGCCACAGCCACATCCCACACTCATCTCCTTCCGGAACTGGCAGGCCTGTGGGATGAGGGATGGATAGGATGGGTTAACTGAGGCCCCAGGAACCGGCTGCCCAGCCCTCAGCTCTCCCCATGAACAGCTGCGTCCCCTCAACAGCTCAGGGTCTCAGTGCTCCTCTTCCAGCAAAAGCAACAATAATAATAAACCAGACTAACTTACTGAGCACCCACTACGTGCCAAGCACCTAAGTACTTTATGTGCATGAGCTCATTTCATCCTCCAACAGCCCTCTGAGATGGACGCCATAATTCTCATTTATCCAGGACTCAATTACCTCATCTGTAGAGTGAGGGGTAATAATATTACTACATCACGGGATTGCTGTGAACTAAGATATGTACAGCACCTGGCACATAATAAGTGCTATTTAAGTATTAGTTATTGTTGTTATTATTACTATTGTTTTATTATTATTATTGTTTTATTATTATTATTATTAAGGAATCTGCAGCATAGAGAGGCTAAATAAATTTCACAAGGTCACACAGCTATAATGGCAGAGCCAGGACTCAAAACACAGGTTAACATGGCTCCACAGAGCTGGTGCTTCATTGCCTAGAGCTGAATTCAGTGCCTCTATGGGCTGGGCAGCCTCCAGCGCATGCCCAGTGTCTCTTTCAGTAGCCCCAAGCCCCTGCCTGGTCAATGTTTCCTCTCAGCCACCCAGACCGGGGTTCCTTTTTTCCCTCATCCCTCCCTAAGTGTGGCAAGCTGTCATCCTTCCCCCTGAAGCCCCTGTTCTTCTCAGAGTCCTGGGGCAGCCGAGTCCCAGTCCCGCTGGCCTTGGGGACCCACACATTTGGACCACAGTTTCACTCACCTTCTTGATACCGTACAGCAGACCAACAATCGCTGCCACCACAGTGAGGGTGATCAGCATGATGGCCCAATCCGGGACAGAGCCCTTCTCCTGAGGCTTCGGGCCTGAGGAGCAGAGAGGGACAGTGACTGAGGCAGGTAGGACCTCCACCCCCAACTCCTCACTGCCCTCCGTGACTTTCCATCTTTCCTTCTGTGACTCTGATGTCCACGTGACTCTAAGACCCCGTTTCTCTGTGGAATTCTTTCCTATCATCTTGGGATAAGAATCTCAATGGAGGAGGTTGAAGGCCCCCTTAGGGCTTCGATCTAAACCCCAGTCATCTCTTCCTCAACACCTGCGGACGTGTCTGTCGGTCTCTGACTCCTCACTGACATCCACATCTCTCCATCTTTCTGAACCCTCCTCCATATCTAAGGCTCCACTGTCCACGTCGCTCAATCGGTGATGTCTCTTCACTGTGAGGGTCCCCATGGGGGCCTCTCTCCTTCTGAACCCCAGTCTTCCCCACCACTCCTGACAGACGCTGACTCTGGTCACTAACAGGAGCCAGAGGCATTGTCCTGTCCTTCCTCCACTGATTTCTTGCCCTCAGACAGCCTATGGGGAGGCTAGGATTGAAGGGGAGGGGAGTAGGGAGACAGAAGGAGGGAGGAGGATGGCAGCTCTGGCAGGGATGCTTCTTGCCCTGGAAAGATAGATTCAGCCATGAGGAAGGAAGTTGAAAACCTTTCAAGGAAGCAATCAGGTAACAGACATCTGGGTATTGGTCTGATCAGAGGCTTGAGGGGGCACTGAAATGCCTTTAAGAATTGGAGACATCCTCAGACATACTCAAAACACAGTTAGAAGCAGGCACGAAGGCCTGTCCCTGTTCTCCACTCCAGGAGCCAGGGCGGCTGCAGGGGAATAAGAAAGAATGGGCCCAACCAACATTTTCCTGGTAGAAGACCCAATGCGAATAAGAGCGCCTTACTGCTCGGGACACTGAGCCCAGGGGACATGGTGGCCGCTCCAGCCGTTGTGGGAGTGGAACCTCCTGAGACAGCCCCACTCGATGTGGAAGTCCCAGGCACAGCTGGAGCAGCTCCAGGGGCTGCCGTGGGGGAGACAGATCCTAGAAAGGCAGCGGGGGAAAATGACTGGAAGAGAGCCAAGCAAGAGCAGAAGCAGAAATTGCATCTAATGTACCCTCAGTCAAAATCCTAGCAAGTTTTTGGTCGAAATTGATGAACTGATTCTATGGAAGTGAAAGGACTGAGAATAGCCAAGACATTCTCAAAAGAAAAACAAAAGCGAAAGACATACTACCATATCTTGAGACGTGCTACAAAGCTGCGGTCATTGAACACTGTGGCACTGGAATAAGAACAGACAAACAGAGGAACAGAACAGAATCCAGAAATAGACCCACACGTATGTGGGCACTTGACCTTCGATAAAGGTACTCACACGACTCACCGGTGGGGAGAGAGGGAGGGTCTTTGACATAAATGGTTCTGGGGCAGTTGGTAATCCATAAGGGAAAAAAAATTAACCGTGACCTCTACCTCACTCCATACACAGAGATTAATCTGAGATAGAGCACAGGCTTAAACTTGAAAGCTAAAATAAGACAGCTTCTGGAAGGAAATGTAGGAGAATATTTTCATGACCTTGAGGTAGGCAAAAAAAAAAAAAGCCTGAGGCAGGATACAGAAGACACCAACCACAAGAGAAAAGGTTGATAAATTGAAAGCAAAGAAGGGGGTCCTTGTACAGCCACCAAGGCCAGGGCCCTGGTCCAGGAGGTTCTGGGGCACTGCTGAGTACCCGCGGTGGAGCACAGGAAGGACCCCCGCCCCAGAGCTACAGCTAAAGAGTTCTTCAGAGATGGGTTGAGCAACAGAAATGTTACCTGGCAATGTTGAGACTGTTCCTGAAGTGCTCCCAGAAATGGTCGGAGCCAAAGTCTGAGGACTACCCGAAAAACCCCCAGAGGCTGAAGAAACTGTTGAGAAACTCGCAGAGACAGTGGGGAGACCCGCAGAGGTGGTGGGGAGACTCCCTGAGATGGTGGGGAGACTCCCTGAGGCGGTGGGGAGACTCCCTGAGACGGTGGGGAGACCCGCAGAGGCGGTGGGGAGACTCCCTGAGACGGTGGGGAGACCCGCAGAGGCAGTGGGGAGACTCCCTGAGACGGTGGGGAGACCCGCAGAGGCGGTGGGGAGACTCCCTGAGACGGTGGGGAGACCAGCAGAGGCGGTGGGGAGACTCCCTGAGATGGTGGGGAGACTCCCTGAGGCGGTGGGGAGACCCGCAGAGGCGGTGGGGAGACTCCCTGAGACGGTGGGGAGACCCGCAGAGGCAGTGGGGAGACTCCCTGAGACGGTGGGGAGACCCGCAGAGGCGGTGGGGAGACTCCCTGAGACGGTGGGGAGACCAGCAGAGGCGGTGGGGAGACTCCCTGAGATGGTGGGGAGACTCCCTGAGGCGGTGGGGAGACCCGCAGAGGCGGTGGGGAGACTCCCTGAGACGGTGGGGAGACCCGCAGAGGCGGTGGGGAGACTCCCTGAGACGGTGGGGAGACCAGCAGAGGCGGTGGGGAGACTCCCTGAGACGGTGGGGAGACCCGCAGAGGCGGTGGGGAGACTCCCTGAGACGGTGGGGAGACCCGCAGAGGCGGTGGGGAGACTCCCTGAGACGGTGGGGAGACCCGCAGAGGCGGTGGGGAGACTCCCTGAGATGGTGGGGAGACTCCCTGAGGCGGTGGGGAGACTCCCTGAGACGGTGGGGAGACCAGCAGATACCGGATTAGAGATCCCCGATGGGGTCAGCTGAGCTGTTGGAAAAAAAGGAAAAATTATATGATGGGGTTAGAAGAGTTGGCTATCCTGGGCCCAGAGTCCACACGTCACCCCAACACTCCATGTCGGAGCCCCGGTTCTCACCAAGTCCCGCCAAGGCCTGCAGGCTCAGGAGCAGCACCAGTGCAGCGTCCATGGTGCCAGCTGTGTGTCTTTCCAGGCCCTTCTCCCTGGCTCTTTAAAGGCTCCCAGACCTATTACAAGTCTTGGGAGAGCCAGGTGTGCCGGGGCCTCCATCAACACCAGGATCTCCATCCCCAGGGAGAGGTCACCAAGCTGTCCCCAGAGGATTAACCTGTCCCAGCCTGATCCCAGGAAGCACTGGGCCAGGGGAAAAGTGAGTAAGAGCCTAAGGACTCCCCTACCTGGCCCCCGGGCTCTTCCCAGACTGGGACCTGTCCCTCAGGCCCAAGGCAGGCCCCAGCCCAGACCCTCCTGGGAGAGGGGACACCCAGGTGCCCTATCCCAAGGTCCTCCTCTTGCTCCTAGAAATACCACTGGGGGTGAGGATATATGGGTCCCTGGGGGAAGCAGGATTTGGGAGCTGGGTGGGAGTAGAGAACGTCATGGCCTGGGAACTGCAGCTGACCCTTAGGACACCCCAGGGCAGGTTAAGCAGATGAACACCTGAGCCATTACTCATCTAGACTGGCAGCAGCCCACGGAGTTTTCCATTCCTTTGGTGGAGAAGGGGCGAGGGGAGACGAGGGACACCAGGGAAGACGCAGCGTGTGCAGCGACAGTGCAACGTGGAGGCAGACTGTCCTGAATCCACTGCACTGGGATCCACCAGTTCCGAGCTGTGCACACTCGGACAAGTCACATGACCTATCTAAGTCTTAGTTTCTTCACCCCTAAAACTGAGTAGTCTACTACCTAGTCTAGTACCTAGTTCAAAGGGTTGTCACAACATTAAAGGAAACAATGTTTCTAATGTGCCTAGCACACCACAGCGTCAGCTATGATTACATGGAAAGAGTACGGGCCACCGGCTGGGAAAGACACAGGGGCACTCCTACCCTCAAGACTCAGATGCCCCAAAGCATCTCTCTGTGTTCCCGCCTTCTTCCCCCTGCTCACACCTCCTGTATCTGCTGATCTTTTCATCCATTTATTCTTCCCTCCCTGGGCTTCTTGCTCCCAGTGCAAGTCTTAGTCCCTGGATGTCTCACTTTATTTACCGTGTAGACCGTGTGTCTCTCTCCATCTCTCCAATTTCCTCACCTTGCTTCTGGCTTCTCTCCTGACTCTGCCCAGTGCTCTCTCTGCCTCCATCCCTCTGTGCTGGGCCCACTGGTTTTCTGGGAAGAGGGGAAACGACGCTAAGGGAGGCGGATAGGAAGATGAAGTGTGTGTGCCTTTGTGTGTTCCAGGGGGTTACGTGACTGGTGTGTCAATCTGTTGAGTTGACCGCTGTTGTCTGGCATTATGAGGGATGGGATCTCATCTCTCTGCTGCTGATTTGCCATGTGACCTTAGTAGGTCATTTACCCTCTCTGGGCCTTAGCTTCCTAGTTTCTAAAGAAAAATGGTAAACTAGATGGGCTCCAGACTCCCTCCACACGTCTGTCCTCGGATTTGCCACTCTGAGTGCCTATGTGTGAGGGTGTTGCTGGGAGTATGAGGCGTCCCTTTTGCACGAGTGCCCCGGGTGGGAGGGGGGAGGATGTCTGATGGAACTCATGTCTCCACCTGAGTATCCAGGATATTTTAGAGCAACTAAAACAAAACATTCAAAGATGAAAGTTCCCCATTACCCACATTTCTCACCCCAAAAGTCACTGTGACGGGGGGAGCAAGACACCTGGGTCTGGGAAAAAACTTGGCATAATCCACCCCTCCCTTTTGGGCCCACATTCCTGAGCCCTTCAGTGGCATGAATGATGAAAATTAACTGCAGTTAATAATTAATCCCTAAAGAGCAATGAGAGGTTCAGGCCTGGGTGGGGCCCAGACACCTGCAGGAGGGACACCTCCCTGGTCCCCACTCCCCTCTCAACCTCCCTCTCTGTGGGACCAGGCACCCACTCCCTCAAGCCTTGAATCATGGGGGAGCGGGAGGGCACAGGACTGAGAAAAGGGGACCACCCTCTATTCTCCCCTACAGCCCAGTGAAGGCCTCTCCTGGGTCCTCAAAGCCATGTTGGGAGAACTGGAAAATCCAGTTCCTGCTTTCCCCTCCCCATTCCCCCCAAACGCCTGTACTAAGGATTGAGTAGGGTATAGAAAGGCAGGCCCGGTCAGGAGAGGCCAGCCGGGGCTTCAGGCATCTCTTCCGCCCATCGGAGAAGCGAGGTGGCCACAATGGGGGCCGGGCTGCCCCTCTTCCTCCTGCTGACCTTCCTCGGCAGCTCACATGGAGCAGGTGAGGGCTGACGGCTGGACAACGGGTCCCCAAGGAAAGAAGAGGCCAAGAAGGGGAGAGAGAGAGAGAGACGGAGGCACCCAGTCCTGAGCGCCCGAGGGTTCGGGGCTGAACGGCCACCTGGAGAGGGTCTGAAATGGCATTGCCGGGGAAGAGGAACTTCGAGGGAGAGGCGTAGGAGGGGGTGCCCGCATCTCTGAGGGAATCTGGCCCTGACGGCTGGGTCCTAAGCTGTGCTTTTGGATCCTTAGGGCCAGGAATGACTTTGCAACTGAAGCTGAAGGACTCCTTTCTGGCAAATGTCTCCTATGATTCCAGCTTCCTGGAATTTCTCGAAAAGGTAGTTTTTCGGGAGGGGAAAGGATGGGGCTGTGTGGAGTGTGTCTGAATCAGTGTGGGCCTCCCTGCTGGGGGCTGGCTGTCTCCGGGGTGGGAGTGAGAGCCATCTTACACCTTGCCCTCCAACCCCTTGTCTCCCCCAGCTCTGCCTCCTCTTCCATCTCCCATCCGGGACCAACGTCACTCTCCATCGTGCAGGATGCCCACACCACGTCATCTGCAGAGTCTGAGAGCAATGGAAGCCTGTGCCCCTCTTGGCCCCGGGCATTTGGCCCCTGGAGTGCTGGGGGATGTGCTGGCCCTGTCTTCCAGCCGACCCTCACCCTGCTGAGTGGCATTAAATACGCTAAATCCAATGATTTGAGGTTGTGGGCTCATGAGCATAGGGCCGGCAACTGGACGCCCTGGTCTCTGATTCTCCCCCTTGTTAAGCAGAGGGGTTCCGGGATGGACACTCTCTCCCTCAACACCAGTGACAAAAGCCTAGAAAGAATCTAGGGAATTAACTGTTAAGGGATACACGCACCCCGCACACATATATGCATGAACATGAACACACACTTCAAGTGAGATCTTCAGAACCCCTGGGAATAAAGGAAAGAAACAAGTATTGAATTCCTACTTTGTTCCAGACGTGATGCCTTCTCATCTCCATGCTTACGGCAATCTTGAATGTAGCAGGATAGGTATCAGTACCCAATCTTACAGATGAGGAAATTGAGGCTTCAAGAGGGTAAGTCCCTCACCTGAGTCCATTAGCAGTGGAGAGGTCAACCCCAGACAAATGCTGGCTTAAATGAGACTTTCATTTCATCTCCCTTTGCTTAAGCTTTGGGGCTGGGGGTTCAGGAACCCCAGACAGGGATGTGGACAGAACACCCGAGGACATGGGCCCCTGACCCAGGGATCCCCACAGGTCAGTCAGGGCAGGAGGTGGGTGGGAGGCAGCTCAGGTGAGAGATGAGGGATGAGGGGTTCAGCTTGTGAGCGGGTGGTGGGCCTGGCATAAGTCGGTGGTGGGGAGGAGAGGAGGGCGCCAGAGAGCTTGTCCGGCTAACCACGAGAACGTGTAGTCACGCAGGCCCACGTGCGAGTCCTAGGTAAGTTCCTTATCCTCTCAGAGCTTCCACATCTTCACCTGCAAAATGGGGGTAACAATAGTACCAGCTCATAGGATTATTGTGAAGATGACATGGATAAGCTACCTGAGGCACATGCCACAGTCTGTCAGATAAGTGGGCCTGGGATTATTAGGGTGGAAACCCGGTCCCAACACCTAAGTCCTAGTCTCCTCGAGGGTCCGGGGTCCTCCTGCTCCTGATTTCCTTGATGCGGGCACTCATCTAACTCCCCACTCAAAATTGTCTTGACGTCTTACCCGCTCTCTCAAAAGGCCAGCATGCAGCCCAGACATGCCCATTTGGGAGTATTGATATGATTGCTTCCTGTTCTCCGCAGTACCCGTCCCCGCCTATTATACCCCCACACCCCCCATCACCACCATGTGAAATTAGAAACAGACTACTTTGGAGGGAGGTGAAGACAACAGTTTGGCATGGAGCATCCCTGAAGATGAGGGGAGCACAGGTATGGGAGAGTGAAAAGAAAAACTTACAGAATTCCTCTAGTTTCCTTTACAACCATCCTGGGACAATTAGCCCAAAGGAGAGGTAGCAGGGGGGCCCAAGGGGCCCCAGTATTTCATGGCTTGCCCCTAGCCTGCACCAATGGGCAGGTGACAGCTCTCTGCCTCCACATCAGCCTCCTTGCCATTCTTCGAGCACTCCAGGTGTGCTCCCATCTTACCTTTGCTCTGGCTCTTCCCTCCACCTGGAAACTTCCCCCAGACATCTGCTTGGTAACTGCTGCACCTCCTGCAAGTCTTTGCTTAAATCTCACCTTTACAAGAAGCTCTGCCCTGAACTCCTATTCAGCTACCACCTGCCCCCCAACATGTACACCTGGGTCCCCCCACTTTGTCCTACCCTTTTCTCCCCATAGCATTTATGACATAGTTTTACTTATTGACATGTTACTTCTGACTCTCCCTGCTGGAAGGAAAGTGCTACAAAGGCAGAGACCATGGTTTCCCTCATTGATGAACCCTAGTGTCCAAACTAGGGCCCAGCACATAGTGGGTGTTCAAGAAATACCCGTGCAACTGGGAGAGGAAAAAAAAGAAACCACCACCTCCTCCTTTTCCTCTTCCCTCTGGGTGGGAATGTGGATTTGGTGGTGGGAGCTGGAGCAGATCTTAGACCCAGAGTTGGAACGAGTGTAACAGAATGGCAGGAAAATAAGATTGAAACAGGCATGGGCCCCCATTACTGCAGAGCCCTGCCCTGCTTCTGCCCAGCACTAGAAATGTCCATCTCATCTAAGCCACCATTATATCTGAAGCTTGGTCACAACAGCTAGAAAGAACCTGCACCTAATTTATTGGGTTGAATCCCAGCTGACACTTTGGCCAAGGTACTTTTATTCTCTAACAGCTTTCTCCAAAATGGGGTGAACATCCACCTCATGAGGTTCTTGGGAGAATTAAATGGCACCACAGAGGACCTCAATAAACGCACCATACAGGGTAGCTACTGAGAGCTGCTGGACAAAATGTAACTTGGGCGTGAAGGGCCAGACCCCTGAATTCCACTGAAATGAGACAAAGTGTTCAGGGTGGGTAGGTGGGCATCCGTGAATGAGGGGCTGGGCAGTGTGTCCCTGCACTCTGGTCTCAGGAGCACACAAAGAGGGAACTCAACTCCCACACACCCTGCAGCCCTCAGGCCTGGAGGAAACCCCTGCTCCTGTCAGCACCCCTGGGGAAGGGCCAAGGAGCAGGGATGCCTCCATTCATTTGGTGAGGAGGAGGCAGGCCTGCAGAAGTCAGGGCATTGTCAGTAATTCCGGAAAGTAGGTGGAACCCAAGTCACTGTGCCCAGGCCCTGCTGGAAAGCTCCACTGACCTCCAACAAGGCAGGCACCGCCCAGCACCCACACTCCCACTGTGGCCCAGAGCCTGAGGCTAAGAGGCAGCCCTATTCTTTCCCCAGACCAAAGTCTCAGGAGCCAAGAAAGTCACCACTAGGGAAACGAGGGATAAAAGGACCACAGCCAGACGTGTTCAGGATTTTATAAGTTTGTCTGAATTTCCTCATTCCCAAACTTCCAGGTGGGACTGAATAGGAGGGAGACTGGGGCAGGAACATGAGCATCTCGAGGCCACCCACAGGCACGCTGACCGAGCTAGTCTGTGTCCTCATTTACAGAATGAGAGAGGTGGACCACACGGTCTCTCAGGCCCCATCACGCCCTGACAGCTGCCAGATCTGTTTGTCCTCAAGGGTGGGTCTGGGAGGGAAGGAAAGCGCCAGGGATGTTAAGTTAGAGCTCAGGGCTCCCTGGGGCTGGGAGACGCATCCATCAGCTGCCGGAGGTGAGAGGCTGCCTTGTCCAGCTTCGACAATTCCAACTGGAGGGAAGAAAGCTGGACGAGAGAAGCAGGTGAGGGGCCAGGTATGAGGCCACCCCCACCAGCCCACACTCCCTCAAGGAGGCGGGCTTCCCGGGTGGCCTCACCCAGCCTCACCCTCTGCTGCCTCTGAGTCTCTGCCTCTCCCTCTGATGGGGTCCGGGCTCTGAGGCCATCAAGCTGCTTCTGCAACTTGTGTCTTCGGGCAGCTAGCAGAGGTAGATGGGTCTGGGGGTCCACGAGGCCCTGCAGAAGAAGAGAGAGAGAAGGCTCAGACATCTGCGGCCCGCCCAGCACCTCCCTCGTCTCCATTCTAAGGAGCCCCTCCTCACCTTCATAGCACCCACCACTTCCCCTCCTCCCCACACTCTCTTCGACTCCTCCCCCTCCAGTCTCTTCTGGTCACCTGCAGCTCCATGTAGACCTGAATGGTGTCACTGAGTGGGGCCTGGGCCCAGCCGGAGGGAGCTGCTGCGCCTGGGGGTAAGAGGCCCACGGCCCCACAGTAGCCCAGGGTGCCCAGGGGCTCCAGGAAGGCCTCGAAGAGGCCCTGCTCTCCAGGCTCTGAGCTCTGCAGCAGCACTGGGGAGGAAAGGGAATCCGTCAGGGTCAAGACATCAGATCCTGCCTCCCTTCCCACCCTGCACCTCCTAACTCTGGGCTCTGCCCTCCAGGCTTTCCCCTCTTCCCGCCAGCCCCTTCTTTCTGCAGGGACTCGGGAGCCAAGGACCCGCCTCACCTCGAGGCCGGGCCTTAGTGAGCTGGTACGTGGCTCGGAGAGCCCTCAGCGCCTGCACGGCCTCCTGGACCCGGGAAAAGCGCTGTTCCAGCTGGGGCTGGTGCCAGTGTTCCTGGAGATGGGGACCCAGAGTTAACAAGCGGGCTCCTGGAGACTCAGTTCAACTCTCCTGGTTCTATCCTCCATCTGCCCACCCCCATCTCCTCAGAGCAACAGATCTGTCCTCTCCACTACACGCAAAATGCACCACCTCAAGGAGCACAACACAGCGAAAACTGGAGCGTCATCTAAGAAGGTCTTAGATGGTCGGGGGTTGATGTCTGTTTAGTCACTCTGATTGAAGATGGCAAACCACCAAAAACAAATTAGAATTGAAAATGTATTATTCAAAACTCACAAAACCAAGTATGTATAAAAGAAACTTAAATAAACTTTAAAATGACTTTTTGGGTGAGTTTGTAGCATTTACCCTTCTGAAGTTTTCAAAGCTTAAAACTGCACTGACATTTTTGGGATATCCTATTACTAACATCTAATCCTCATCACAACCATGACATGTACTATCACTATCTCCAGTTCAGAGACAGGGGAAACTGAGGCAGAGTCACACAGCTAGTAAGTGTCAGTCTCGTGACAGAGTCCTGCTCTTGACCACTTTGCTAATACTGCCCCCAAGTCAGCCCTGCAGGAACAATCCATGTCCCCAAAGACTCCACGGTAAAGTACAAACCCTCACTGTCAATGACTCCACCGCAGCAAACTTTTAGAAGATGGCTCCCCAAGTCTTCAGCAGCAGCCCCCCTCCCAGACACCACAGGCGCGTGACTCACCAGGCTGCGGGCACTGGGGTAGGGGGCAACAGAGATGCTGGGGGCAGGGGGCGCGCCAGGCCTGGGGGGCAGCCTCTGCCAGAGCTCTTCGGCCAGGAAGGGCATCAGCGGGGCGAGGAGGCGGAGACCGACATCCGCGCAGGAGAACAGGACCTGAGGAGGCCCTGGCGGGCGAGGCGAGTGCAACAGCACTGGCTTCACAGCCTCCTAGGGAGGAAGCCAACGGGTCAGGGGACGGCCCACGCCCACGTCCTTCCTCCACACACTTGCCACCCTACCAGTGGGGAATCTGTGGGCAGAAGCACCATCAGCTGCCCCAGAATATACTATGGAGCACGTGAAAAGTGGAAATCTAAGGCAGGGATTCTCAGATGTGGGTGGGAAATAAAACTGTCAGGAATGTTTGCATAGTTTAAAGAAAAGCACTGAGTTTTTTGCTTATCAAAAAGCGACAGAGGGGGCCGGCCCTGTGGCCAAGTGGTTAAGTTCCCCCACTCTGCTTCGGCAGCCCAGGGTTTCGCCGGTTTGGATCCTGGGGGCAGACATGTCACCACTCATCAGGCCATGCTGAGGTGGCATCCCACACAGCACAACCAGAGGGACCCACAACTAGAACATACAACTATGTACTGGGGGGCTTCGGGGAGAAGAAGAAGAAGAAGAAAAGATTGGCAACAGTTGTTAACTCAGGTGCCAATCTTTAAAAAAATTAAAGGGACAGAGGTTTTTAAAAAGGTTGAGAAACAGTGAGCTAGGGCAGGGATCTTGAGCCAGCAGCATCACCTGTGACAAAAAATGAAAATTCTTGCCATCCCAACCCTCGCCTGCTGAATGAGCAGCTCTGCGTGGGGCCTGTGCTCCTGGTGAACGGCCCTTGGGCAATTCTCACGCAGGATCAAGTGTGAGAACCCCTGGGCTAAAGGACCACTATTCCTCCTCCCCATCTGCTCACAGCTCCCGGCCTGCCCAGGGCCCAAACTCAGCAGTCACCAGGGCTCAGAGAGGATCTCCATCTGCCTTCCAACCCTGCTCTGTTAGACTGTTTTCTAGAAGTCTCCCCTGGTCCTCCTCTCTCCTCAGATGACAGGCAGGGAACGGCGCCCAGGCTGCACTACAGACACCAGTCCCGGGGAAGAGGGGAATTGGGATGTCCCGTCTCGTCTCCCTTCCTGTCCTAACCTAACGGGACAATCAGGAACCCAGTTCAGAGCTCTCTGCCAGGGAACCCGATTTCAAGAAGCAGGTCTACAGGAGCGGAGCGCCACACCTGGCCCCCAGCCTCACTCACCAAGTAGACATCACAGAGGTTGTGGAGCCAGAAGTGGTGCAGGGCGTGAGTGACAAGCGAGAGCTCTTGGGTCAGGAAGCCTCGCTCACACTCCCGGGCAGTGCGGGCAAGGCAGCTCAGGATCCAGGCGTCCACAGGGGAGGAGGGGGACAGCTGCAGGCAAAAGGGGGCTCAGGACTGGGACGGCTCAACTCCCACCCCCTTGCCTCCTTTCCTTCCAGATGCCACCTTCAACGCTCAGACAGCTGACTCCCCACCCCAGAGGGAAGAAGAAAGCATCTCTTCTTTCTTGTACCTCCTCTGCAGGCTGGGGTACAAATTTCTCCCCTAGAGCATTGAGGATAAAGCGCAGGGCATTCCAGATCTTGTTGCAGAAATGTCGGGAGCTCAGGACCTCAGAGACAGACAGATGTAAGTCGCCCCCTGGGAAGGAGAGAAAGGAGAGAATCTGTATGTGGGCGGTGGCAGCACAGGGAGTCCTGGGCCCTGCTCGCCCCTCTGCGCAGGTGCCCACTGCCCCAACACCCCCCTCGCCCAGGCTTACCCAGGGCCCCATGGGAGCACAGGGTGAATCTCAGGGCATCTGTCCCACACTCAGGGATCCCATGAGGGAAGTCCTTCCTCTGCAACCAGAGGGAGAAGAGGAGTGGCAGGAGCCTATGAGGCTGTAGGGTCAGAAGCCTGGGTGGTACAGGAAATCAGCGGCCACAAGCTAGAAGCTGGGACAGGGTAGCCACTGCGGACTCACCTGTGCGGCAGCCGCGATCGCCAGCTCCGCAGGATCCAAGTTCCCATCCTCCAGCTTTTCCTGCAGCACCTGGGATGGGCAGTTCACTAGCCTCGGCTGAAGTCCCTGCCCCTGCAAGGGTCCCACCCACTGTCCCTCACAACTCCAGCTGTCCCAGTCAGCCCCTCTCCTCAGGCTCCCTCCCTCTCTCCTGCAAACCCCATCCCTCGTGCTGGGCTCCGCATCCTGACCTGCAGCTCCACGCCACTGATGATGTCCCGTGGGTCCAGCACATTCCCCAGGGACTTGCTCATCTTCCGGCCCTGTCTGTCCCGAACCATGGAGTGAAGAAGCACCTAGGAGCATGGAAGAAGACAGCAGAGGGGGGCCTAGAGAGCCTTTCCCTGGAGGGTCCCTTGGGGTGGAAAGTAAGTCAGGAAAAAGGGATAGGGAACACGAATACCCACACATTAGGGGTTAGAGCGGAGGACAAGTTTTGGGGAACACTGAGGGGGTCACAGAGAGGGACAGGGGCATTGAAGGACCAACTACCTTGCTGAAGGGGAGCTGCCCTGTGAGCTGCGTCCCCAACATGACCATGCGGCCCACCCAGAACAGCAGGAGGTCACTGCCCGTTTCCAAAAGTGATAGGGGGTAGAAACGAGCAAGGTCTTGGGTCTAGGAGAAAAGACAGAAGGAGTAAGAGGCCCAAGCTCTGGGCCTCCAGCTCTTCTCAAGACTCAGGGGGACCCCTTTGTTGACTTCATCATCCCCACGTTCACGCCCTTCCTCTCAACCCGCCTCACCTCTTGGGGCCAGCCCAGGGCAGAAAAGGGGAAAAGGGCTGAAGAGAACCATGTATCCAGGACATCAGGGTCTGGGAAACAGAATAGGGAATGGGGACAATTGGAACCTCAGCTTCTAGAACCTCAGCCAGCTACTGCCCACCCTGCCAGCCCAACCCCCATCCCCAGAGACCAGGGGTCAGGCCTTGGCCCCATTCCCTGTTTTCCCAGCCCCACCTTCTCCACTCAGTATCTTCCCTCCCCGGCCCTCCGGCCCTCTGGCACTCACCCCTCGCCAGGGTCAGCTCGGCCCCTGGTCTCCCTGTCAGTTCTGCAGCTACCTCTCTGGCCTCGGCCTCTGTCCGCCCAACCACCCAACAGTCCTTCCTGCCGTCCTGCAGAAGTCAGGGGGAGGGGGAGCCTGAGGAAGAATAATACCTGATAGGTGTGAAACATCACTGAGTTTCAAGTTCTCTTCCGTGGTTTGACAATGGCCGGCCCCCTCTGGTGGTGAGATGACGAAATGCCGGCTCAGGGGCCCTCTTGGCCGCAGGTTACATGACCAAGCCCCAAAAGTGCAGGAACAGGTCGGGTGCTGGGCCTGGCTGGAAGTCCTCTGACTGGGGCGCTAGGTCTCCTTCCGCCACGCCTGCCCTCCCATCCCTTCCTCCTACCAACCTCTGCATGCTCTTCTACGACTAGGTAGGCTGGAATCCGATGGCCCCACCACAGCTGCCGGGAGACACACCAGTCCCTGCCGAGAAGCCATGAGCGATTTCTCAGAACAACCAGTGGGTCCTCCCTCCCCATCCCCACGAGAGCTCCCCACCCCTTACCCAATGTGGGAAAACCAGTGCTGCCAGTTCTTCTGGTGGAAGGACGGACTGAGCTCCAGGGCCCCGGACTCCACAGCCTGGGGAAAAGGGCCGTTAGACAGGGCTTCCCCTCCTGCACCGGCACCCCTCCCAGGATGGGACAGGTGCCTCTGGGGTGGTTCTAAAACTCAGAAAAGACCTCCCAAGGCTCCTGAGAAGATTCTGGACTTGAGTGAAAACATAAGCCAGCCCTTTCTGGGCCACTCCATCCCCACAGCCCTCCTCTTAGTTTCCACAGCTAGAGAGGTCTCTGGGGCAGGAGGGCTCCACCCCGTGTCTCTTCACTCCAATCCTCCGGGAGCTGCCCCCCACCAGGCCCCAGTCCATCCTCGCACTGCAGCCTCACCTGGGCAGCTCGGTCCCCCATCTCCCGGCAGCGGACAAACCACTGGCTCTTTAGCAGGTACTCTACCACATCCCCGGAACGACTGAAAGGGAGACAGGGCGAGTCCACCGCTGCTCCGACCCTGGACCTTTCCCCCAGGGACATGGGCCCTCCTGTGCCAGGCCCTCAGTACGGAGAACACAGCAGCAAATAAACTGACACAGAGCTTCTCTTCTAGTGGAAGGAGTGCACAACCCACCCTACTGTCACTCTTAAGCTCCACCCATTCCCTTCTGGGGGTGGTCCTAAGTAAAGGAGTTAAAACGGGGTTACCTGCAAATGGGCAGCACCATAGGGTGGTCCTGGAGGCCCCGGAACAGACCCCGCTCCCTCAGTGCAGACATAATCTTGCCCCGGGCCACAAATCGGTGAAGACCCTGGGGGAAAAGTGGCCATAAGAAAGGTTAAAGGCCTCTAGAAAAACAAGAAAGTGGAAGAGGGGAGGAGGGGCAGGGGGTGCCCCCAAAATATGAGGTAGCATGGAGGCCAGTCCCACCTGCAGCCAGTCCCCACAGAGGGAGGTCATGGTCCCATCCTCCGCAATGACACTCAGGGGGCTCAAGCCGTGTCGGGCCCCCAGCTCAGCATCAGCAGGGCTGTGAGCTGGAGTCACTTTCACTGCCCCTGGGGGAGCAGAACCACCGTGAGCACTGAGCCCCGACCTTGGCTTTTGCTTTTCCAGAGGTGTTGTCATCACCCACGCCTCCCTCCTCTCCTTGTCTGTGCCTCCCTTTTGTTCCCCACTGCCCATTCAGACCACCCTACATGGAGATTCCCCCAACACTTTCTTCCTCTTCCTGGTTCCTTCCCTCTCTCCCAAAACCCCTGACTTTTTCTCCTTCCCCTGACCTCCACTCACCTGTGCCCACATGTGGCTGAACAGCAGAGTCTGTGATGAGGGGGAGAAGCTGCCCCGTCAAGGGGTGACGAAGTTGTCGCCCGTGTAGATGCTGAACAAAGGGGAAAGGGATCAAGGACAGGCATGTGTGGGATGGAAAGGTCTGGGCTGGGCCCAAGAACCCTGGGAATGAGGGTGAGAACCAGAAGGTGAAGAGCTAAAGAGGGGTCAGCAAACTTTTTCTTAAGGGGTCTGAGTGTATATATTTTAGGCTTTGTGAGCCAAGAGGCAAATCCAGTGTCTCTTCAATTACTCCCCTCTGCCACCGTAGCAGAGCTAGATGATACATGACACAGCCAGCTGTAGAAAATACACAAGCGAATGAGTGCGGCTCAGACAAAAACTGGCAGTGGGGTGGATTTGGCTCATGGGCCATAGCTCTTGTCAACCCCTGAGCTAGAGAAAAAGTGCAACCTCAAAAAGAGAAGAGAGCAGACTCAGAGACCCTGGAGAGCTGGGAGGAGAGAAGTCTTAGGAAAAGGAAGTAGAAGCAGGAGAGAAGGAGCTACCATCCTCAAAGGAAGGGAAGAAAAAGCTGTGGGGGCAGGAAGGCCGGGGCAGGGAGCACACTGGGTATTACTGTGTATCGGGAGTCGTCAGGATGAACGGCCACAGCCACGTCTCCAGGCAACGTCTCTGGCCTTGTGGTCCCCACCACGACCTCTGCATCTGAAGACAAAATTTAAGCACGTATAGCTGGTCATCACCCCGGCCCCTCACTCCTGACACAGCTAAAGCCAGAACTGGAAAAGGGAGGGTGCATGGAGCAACCAACGTTGAGCAGACCCCCAGGAGTAACTAGAGCAAATTAGGACCAGTATCTATAGGAATCCAGGGTTTCCATGTCAGCTAATGACCAGAGGCCTCTCCTGAGAGGGTGTCTGGTGCTAAGGAATTCCTCAATAAGTTGTGTTGGAAAAATAGATATAGTGTTAATAAAAGCAACCAGAATCCTGGCTTGGTGCCCAGAGGACACTGCGGGTTCTTGGCACCCCAATCACAAACGTGGTGCATTCCTCAGGGCTAGCAGCAGCCCCTTCTAGAAGAAACTTCCTCTGACTATTCCAGCTCATCCATCTTCCCCTTCTCTGAACTCTTTGGAACACTTACTGTCCAAACTACACTTTAGAACTTTTGTCTCTTTCGGGGGCAGCGGCCTCCTGAAGAATTATGCTAAGTTCCCAAAAGAAACTGACCATGTGCACCTTTCTTACATGGCCCAGAATTCCCAGGGTAAGTGCCCATAAGAATACAAACACCACCAAGGTTCCCTATGCCCCTCCCACCAGGTCATGTGGAAACAGGCTGGCGGGTCCCTCCCATCAGCCCAACATGGCTCAAGAAAACAAGGCAGGCAGAGACAAGTGGACGACCCTTCCAAAGACTACCCTCACCGGGCTCTCCATCCACGGGGAAGGCCACAGAAACAAGGAGGCCAAAGGACACGGGGGTGGGGCAGCCGGGCAGTCGAAGCTCCGTGCGGCCAGGCAGGGGCCGGCTCTCCACCTGGGGGCGGCGAGGCAGTAGGGTTGGAGGGCAGCCTTTCTGCAAGGCTCCCACCTCCACGCATCGTCCACCCCAGCCTCCCTGCAACCCATGTAAAAGCCATTCAGAGGATTCAGGAGCCACCTCCCTCTCCCCTCACCTAATTCTTGTGCAGTCACAGTTATAGAAAACATTCACTGAGCACTTAAACCATGCGCAGGTATTGTGCTGAGCGCCTTCCATGAGTTCTCATTTAATTCTCACAACACCCCCATAATGCAGGCAGTTCCATCATCCCTAATTTACAGACTGAGGCTGAAAGAGGCTAACAGGCTGCCACAAGTCACACAGCTGGTAGGTGGCAGAACTCGGATGTGAATCCAGGCAGCCTGGCTCCAGAGCCTGAGCTTTCACCCTGCCTGGGAGCTCTCGCAAACCTGCTTCCTTTCCCTTCTCACCTCAATATCCGAGATGGCTGATCTTAAAGCGCATGACCAGTTGACAAGCTGCCGGTTCCGGTACAACAACCCCGCCTTGTGGAGTCGCACGAAAGCTTCGGTCACAGCCGCAGAGGAGCCCTAGAACAGCCTGAGAGTCCACATCCAACAGCCCTTTCCCAGCCCATCACCCCACTCAGGGACCCAGGCATTCCCACCCTCCTACCCCCAACACACACAACAACCCGCCTCCCTGCACAGGTCTCTAAAGACCCCCGACACCACAAGGCATGGAACACTCACAGGATCCATAGTAAAACACTCTCGGTCCCAGTCCAGGGAGGCCCCTAGAGCTCGGAGCTGCTCACAGATCTCTCCACCTTTCCTGTGCCCAGGGAGATCTCTGTCAGCAAACATGTCCTGAGCACCAGCCATGTACCAGGCTCAGTGACGCCCCCAGCAATGCTGGGTGCTGCAGTGAGTGTGGCATTGATCTGGCCTCTAGAAGCTAACGGAGACAGACACACAAGCCCACTATGGAGCCTTCTATGACTTTAAAAGAAGCATAAAGTTCTACATAACAGAGGAGGTGGCAGCTGATTCATGGGAAACCCAGAGAAGCTTTACAGAGAAGATGGCATATGATAACAGGTCTGAAAGAATGAGGGTGATTTCAAGCAGACAGAAGGTGGGAAAGGGTGAGGAGAGATGATGAAATCTAGGCAAAGGAAAATGGAATAAGTGGAGGAAAAAATATACATACATATATGTGTACACATAGACAATTTAATGTATATCACATACACACACAAAGCTAGGAGATGCCACCAAACGCTAAGGGGCTTCAGAGCTTATTTCTCTAAGGGAAGTTCAGGCTGGACGGCAAGAGCCATGATTACAAATTAGGAAAGAGTGGGTGGGAAGCCAGGACCCCAACCTGCTCTTTCAGCCCCTCCAGCCCTGCCCATTATACTCACTCGTCCTTCCACTTCCACACCTCCCTAAGGAATTCCTCCCGGCTCAGCTCATGTCTCCTCACTCGTCGCTCCTTCCACAGTTGTTTCTCCACCACAGCCTACAGTAAGATTAGGGGGCAAATGAACAGAGAACCAGGTTTGCTTTGTGGGAAGAAATCTCTTTCACTCAAGAAAAGGAAAAAGTGGCAAAAGACATACTTGGGTAGCAATTCCTGCATGATCTGAACCAGGGACCCACAGCACCTGATCCCCACGCATCCGGTGCCTGCAAAAGAAATACCCTCATGTGAATCCCTGGGCTTCTGTGTTTATCCTCACTCCTTCCCATGCTTTCTACTTCTCACCAGCGCACGAGGGCATCCTGTATGGCCACTGTTAGTGCATGACCGATGTGTAGGGAGCCAGTGACGTTGGGAGGTGGGATACACATGGAAAAGGTCTCCCCTGTGGCGTGGGGCAGCTGGGTCTGGAAGGGAGGTAAAAAGTCAAAGGGTGAGAAGACTGGATGTTACCTGTGGGAATAGCACCCTCTAGTGTCTCCCAGGCAGAAAGAACTGCAAGGAAGGGGAAAAGCGGACAAGAAAATGCTTTGGAGACACCAGGAGCCAAAGACAAGCTCTCCCTGTTTTTTGGCAGGCTCTGCAATGTGGCTGGTTGCGAGCTCCAGGCTCTGAGGCTCAGTTGTGCCCACCAACCTCACGGGCCATTCCATCCGGGGGACGGTTTAGTACCCCTCCTGCCAGGTACTAACCTGATATTCCGGTTTGAAGAAGCCCTCTCGCACCCACCATGGGTACCAGGCAGCCTCAACGTATCGGGGGCTGTAGGCAGGAGGCAGGGGCTGTGAGACGTCTGTGGAGGCAGAGGAGAGCTCCACTAACTGCCGAACTTTGTTCCCACGCTGCATTCCAGCAGACCAAATGGGCAACAAGACATGGGACAAAAAGCCTTCAAGCTCCTCGTTACCTTTCTTTTCACCGGGTTCCGTGGGGATTTCATACAAAACTATCTCCTTAGGAGTCCAGGCCTTACTGGATTCTGCAGGTGACTGGGGGAGGAGGAAGCAGAAAGGGGAGATGCAACTCCCAGGATACCCTAGGCATCTGGAATCCAGCTAGGCTCTCCTCCAGCCCCCTCCCAAATCTTCTCAGCCAATCAAGGACACGCTGTGTGACCCCCTAACCTTGCTCTTCCGGGCTATCCCAGCCTCCAGTGCCGCCTGCTTCTCTCGCAGGCGCTTCTGTTTGGCTTCACGGTTTCTCCGGGTGATGTGAGATCCATGGGGCTCTGACTGGGTAGAAAGGGGATGGGACCTGGGGAGGCCCCGTGAGGGCCTCAGCCCCCAAAGTGGTGGTCGAAAAGAAGCCAGAGGTAAATGAGGCATCAGGAGTGCTTGGAAACGGGTCAAGATCTGTTCCACACAGACAGAGCACATTAGTATATGGGGGTGGCGGAGGGTCACACCCCCTA